AAATGTATTTGTATTCTACAGGAAAAAAATGAAAAAAAATATATTGTTAAAATTTTATTATTAAAAATTAATAATAAAGTATTAAAATAATATTTTATTTTTGATAAATTATATTGAATAATAATAATATCATCAAGTAATTTGTCAATTAGCTAATCAATCTCTAAATAAATGATTTATTTTCTTTAAGGTGTAACAAAATAAAAAAATAAAAAACAAAAAGAGAGAGAGAAAAAATGAAACCTTACATACTATGAAAATGAGGTCACATAGAATTCTAAATCATATTGTTAAAGTCATTTTTCTGATAATCAACTGAAAATTGGTGGTGTTTTGAGAATGCCAAAATTAGCTATCTACACAAAACTCAATTTTAAAAATAATATATATAGTCACACGTGATTATTGGCAATCACTTCTCTAAATTTAAAAGAAAAAAAAACGGAGAATAAGAGAAGATGAAAGCTTTGCATTAATGGGAAGTGAATTGAAATCTTGCATGTGAAAAAAAATATATATTAAATATGATAATATATTAAGTAGTTAATAAAATTATGAAGATTGAATTAATAAGATTCTATTTACTTATTTGTTTAATTTTGTTTCAATAGGGATTCCATTTTGATCGAAATGAGATTATGCTAAGTAAATTTAAAAAATACATTAATATTATAAAATAATATTAATATAGTAAAAATAATCATTTTCAAATGTTACTACAAAGCCGGCCCTCAAAACAAATAGAAATTTACAAAATGTCTTTCAAACGCAGAGAAATTTCTTCTCCTCTCATATTGGTATGTCATTTATTACTTATAAAATTAGCTCTAAAATCAAAAAAGTTTTTTTTTTTTTTTCACAAAAATATGTCATTTGTCATTTACAAAATTACTCTCTTTTGAGTAAAAAACTTTTTTTTCTTCTCTCACGTAGACATGCCATTCGTGAATGTCCTACTCATTATTAAAGAATGAGCTGAGAGAAAGCAAGAAAAAAAGGAGTGATGAGAAAGATAGGAAGAAAGTGGGACTCATAATTCTTATTATTAGTTATTATTAAATTACAAAAAATATTCAAAGAATTCGTGAGTAAAGAGTCATTTATATTTGAAAGAAGAAAAGGTAAATTTAGATAACACTGGCTCGATTGCCATAAAAATCAATTGCCTCCATATCAATCAAAAAATTATAAATAAATTATTACAACCTCTTCATATTTTCTTTAAAGAGTAAAATAGTAAACTAAATGTATAGAACAAAGTGAGAGAAAGGAATAGAATGAGAGAAATAGGAAGGATTGAGAAGGAAGTGAGAGAAAGGAATAAAATAGGAGATAGGAAGAGATAGGAAGGAGGGAGGATTCAATTTTTATATTTTTAGATTTTAGATGTAAAATAATTAATTTAAATAATATAATTTATTATTTTCTTATTTAGTTATCTTATTTTATAGCACATTAACTTAGGAATTTATTATAAAAAATTTATTTATTATAATAATTAAGACTTATTCCCATCTTTCTATTTTCAGCTTTATATTATTTAACAAAAAATTCTAAGTTATTTTTATCTCTAGTGAGATGAAAATAAAATTGAAATACTAATATTTATTAGTATTTTTTTACAATGAAAAGTGAGTCAACTAAAGAGTATTTTTGAAATTATCGTGAAATATTATGACTATAATTGTGTTAAATTATGTTATACTGTAATTGTAATTAAACATTATTTTGATATTTAATTATTTATTTTTAAAAAATATTATAAAGTCAACTTGAAAAATAAAAAAAGAAAATTTAGAAAAAAAACTATAATTAAATAGAATAATAATAAAAAATTAATCATTCTCAATATAAATAAATAAATCAAATTATTTTTTGATACTTACCTAAAAGAAAATTTGAAATGAGTCCTCCTTAGAGTGAGGAAAAAAAAACAATACTTTTTAGTATGAAAGATATTTAGCTAAAAGAGTGCCATTTAAAGGAAATAAGGTTTGGGCAATTACGCTTAGGTTGTTTAAATTTGATATGATAGGTATTTTTTTGAATTTTTATGAAAGAACAATGTGTGAAGAGGAAATAAATTTTTAATTTTTTATAAAACTTTTAAATATATGAGATGTTAAATTTTAATAAAATATTATAACTTAAACAAAATTATGTTTTAATAAATAATTTTATAATTATATTAAATATTAAATATTATCTTAAAAAGTATAATT